AATATGTGATTGTTATTTTGATGAGAATTACATTGAATATACACAGATTGCTTTGGTTAGTATGGACATTTTAATGATGTTAATTCTTCCACTTCATGAACAAGGTATATGCTTCCACTTTTTATATCTTCTATTTCTTTTTTCAATAACCAGTAGTTTTCTGTGAAGAGGTCTTTTACTTAATTGGTTAACTTTATTCTTAGGTACTTTAGTATTTTTGCCATGATAGTAAATGGTATTGCTGTTCTAGTTTCTCTTTTTATGAATTCATTGTTGGTGCAAGAGAATGCTGCCAATTTCTTGATATTAATTTTGTATCCTATGACTTTGCAAAATTCATTTATTGAACCTAGTAGACTTTCATGGAGTCTTTAGTGCTTTCTATGCACAATATCATATCTTCTACAAATAACGACAGTTTTACTTCCTCCTTCTTACTTTGGATCTCTTATTTTTTTCCTTATCTAATTGCTGTGGCTAAGACTTCCAATAGTGTTAACTAAGAGTGACAAAAGTGGATATCTCTGTTTAGTTTCTGTTCTCAAGGGAAGTGCTTTTAGTTTTTGCCCATTGAGTATGATGTTGGCTGTAAGTCATATATGTCCTTTATGATGAGATACAAGTTGTCTATTCTCACATTGCAGGTTGTTTTTATCAGAAATGGTGCTGGATTTTTTTGAATTCCAGCAGAAACACATAACTTTAAGATAGACAATAAAAGACATCTAAATTGTTAAAGCTCTTTCTTATGTTGCTTTAATCAATTTAAATGGAGACTGAAGCCAAGAAATTGAGAGAAGGCTGAGACTTAAAAGGGCAGCAATGGAAGAATTAAGAAAGATCACAAAGAGCAAAGATGTATCATTAGGGACCATGGCTAAGATCATTCATGCCCTCAAATGTCCAATTACTATGAACAAATGTGAAAGTTGAACAGTGAAAAACTCTGATACAAAAAGATTTATTCTTTTGAAATATGGTATTATAGGATAGCTCTATGGAGACCCTGGACCATCAGAAAAATAAACAAGGGCTTTAGAGCAAACTAAGATATTATTAGAGGCAAAAATGTCAAGACTGAGGCTGTTACACCAGGCACATCATGAGATAACAGAGTTCTTTGAAAAAGACAATAATATTGGGAAAAATAGAATGCAGCAGGAAAAGAGGAAGACCAAATATGAAATTTATTGACTTCATACAAGAGGTCATAGGCATAAATGTACTGAGCAGGGCTGTTGAGGACAGGACACTGTGAACATCACTCATCAGTAGTCAAAACCAACTAAAGGGCACAAAATTATTATTTTTTCTTTTCATTTTTTTAGGGATTGGTTACCTGAAAATATAGGAAAAACCAGTTTCCTGGAGAGAGTGACTTCAGCAAGCAGATTGGATTACTGGAACTTGGGACATTTGGAACATTGATTTGATTCCCAGCTTTTGAGAAGAGAGCACTGCTTAGCTGATGTTGGTGGCCTGAAGAGAATGAAGGCTGGTTGTGTAGGTGTTGCAAACCAGAGTCAGCTTCTGTCTCTGGAATGAACTGCCACCACCAAGGTGAAGCAGCATTGCTGAGGTGGCGCCCAGACAAAGGAAAACTAGATGAAGTAAGTTCTCTTTTTTTCAGCTTGGCAGATTGACTGCAGTGTCTCCAACTAGAATAGTTTACAGGAAGCAACCAACAAAGAGAAGTTTTTTTCTCGGAGTCCATGTCTGTGTCACAAAGAGGAATACAGGAATCAACTTGATGTCGAGAGACAATAGCTTCATAGCTGGCACAGATTATTTAACATGGAGTATGTTTATAAACAAACATGAGAATTGAGTGTATGTGCCACGGGGTAATTAAAAGAGGTTTCAGGAGCTGGGAGTGAGAAAATAGCAGTAGAAGAATTTTTGACACTTTTAGTTCATCGAGGAAATCATGCAGCAGATGGGATTGGAGGTTAAAAGAAAGAAGATAATACATTTTAATAAACTTGAGATTAAGGTCATGATTCTTGTTTTCTTGCTGTGTGTTTCACATGTTTTGTAGTAACTTGACCTTAGGGAATAAAAGAAAGAATTCTCATAATGCACTGACAGGAACTTCTATTCAAAATCACTCAGTGTCATTGGTTGTTACTATGTTCTCAAGATGGTTAAATGTAATAAGTATAAAAATGTTCACATGAACCATGCTCTACATTGTATTATAGCATTGCATTCTAAAGGGTCTGTCTCAAAACTCTTGATAAAACATGCACTTAGAGAAACACTATAAAGACATACTTAACTGTGCCTCCACCCCAGAATAAAGTGAGGGTAGCAAGACTTATATGTTCATGTGACATGGCATAAGATGGTTAAATTCATCCTAAAGAATTTTGCTGAACTTTATATAGAATGAAAAATGTAGTTTTCTCATTACTGGAAAAAAGATGCTTCATTAGAACATTATGTTTTGAATCAACTTCTGCAAAAATGCTATTTTTAAAATAGTGCCTATAGAGTATGCATTGTGTTCATTCCTCTTCATGAGTGCTTTTCACACTTTTGCACAAAGTACTCATAGAACCAAAGGAAAGTGAATTTCAGGGACCTTACTATAATACAGAGCATAGCACAATAATTACACAAAATATTTGAAGTCGGATTTCATTATAAAAATATATCCACATTTTCTACTATGATGTCAGTTTATAATGAAAGCATACTTTAATCTCATTATCAGTTGCATTATTTAAATATTTTCCCTTAAAACAACTTTGATGCTTCCGGGAAATTCACCATGCATACCTTGTGGTTTTACATAATTCTGATATTTAATATTCTGGGGGGTTTTGGTGGCCCAGCTATCTATTGTTGCCTGCCAAACCACCCCTAAACCTAGTGACTTAGAATAACAACCATTTTATTATATTTCACTATTTTGCGAGTTACAAATTTGGACATAGTTTAGCTAAGAGATTCTTCTGCCCTTTTATTGAGGTTACTGGGTGGTATTTAACTGGTGGGCTGGTCAGAAGGGTCTAAGAATAGCTCCTGGTAAGACTGTCGAGGACATTTAGCTATCTGCAGTGTCTTTAGCATGGCTGTCTCAGTGTAGTTAGACATCTCCTTTGGTGACTGAGGGATCCAGAATGAGTGTTACTAGCTGGAAGAAGCCAGATTTCTTATGATCTTACCTTGGAAGATCTAGAATATTATTTTTACTTTATTCTAATGGTATCTACCTCTCACTGCAAGGGGTTGAAGAGATTTTGAGGTCACCTCTACTCTCAAATGTGTACTACTCTCAAATGTGCACTAGAATTAGGCCAGATCATTACATAGTTGTATGAATGGATTGTTTTTCTTCAGATCAAGGTCACATTGCTTTCATTGAATTGTGTCTTGGCCTCTGCTATCAGAAAAAGTTAGAAGAAAAGCTCATATATGTCATTATATTCACTAAGGTAGTTCTGAAGAATTTTAGCTAGTACATAGAGACTCTGATAGCAACCTAAGGAAAAATGCTTTTGTACCAGAAACAGTCATAGGTATTTCATATTTTTAAAATCAAATCTTGCATCTTTTTTATTTATATTTCTTTTTTACCTTTACAATTAGTAAAACTTCAGTTTTCCATTTTGTCCTAATTGTCATATATTTATTATTATATTTATATTTGCCTTTACATGCTTGCTTAATATTTAATATGCATACCAGGGAGATAAGAAAAACAACAAATTAAGTGTAAATAAATCTAAAACATTAAAAAATGCAAATATCAGATCCCAGTTGTATGGCTTTATTATACCAAAGGAGGTAGCCATATAAATTTTAGTACTGATCTCAGTTCCCTCAGTCACCAGAGAGGCCTTGGCCAAGTTAACACAACCTCTCTAATAATCAAAAAAGTGTAATCATAATAGTGATTACTTTCTGAAGTTGCTTGAGGTTTAAATAAGATAATTATAAAAATATACTTAATATAGTACCTGTGTCTTGGAAGATTTCTACAAATATTAGCTATTAAAATGACCTTGTTATTTAAAGTTATATTGTCCTTAAGTTCAATTGTGTGTATATTTTGTGTTCTCGGCCAGAATAGATTCTTAGTTTTAGATAATAGAATATGCTGTTGATTTGTACCCATAGGCTCTAATGCAGTTATATACACCTGTGGTAAATGTGTTTATTCTAGTTCCCAGGCAAGGGTGAGGACACTGTTATAAAACAAAATTTGAACTACAGAAAACACATACACACACATACAAACACACACACACCACATCATCTTAGTTTACGGGAAGAAGAAAGTAATCTACTTCATTTTTGGAATTTTTTAAAAGTCATATACAATTTATGAAAATTTCAATAAAGAAAAATTAAAATTTATTATTTTATTTAATTTAAAATTCTCATCTGAGGATATTTTTCCTCAAATAGAGCAGGAGGGAGAAAGGGAGAGAGAGAAACATTAAAATGAGAGACACACATATTGACTCATTGACCAGGGCCAGTGACTGAATCACAACCAAAGTATGTGCCCTTCACCAGAATCAAACCCATGATTCTGGTTCATGAGCCAATGCTCTAACCACTGAGCAAAACTGGCCGGGGTAAACATAAGTAATGATGTGTTTCTGTTTCACATCATGTATACTTAGGAGTAATGGGAAAGGAAGAAAGAAAATTAGAAAGTGACAACTAGAAAAAAAAAGAAGAAAAATAAGAAAATTAGAAGGGGAAAGAATCAGGAATTTCAAATATTCATTAAATGACAATTCTCTTTTAAAAAATCCGAAAAATGTATGACCTCTTATAATTAAATACTTTTGGGAGATGTGGAATCTGAGGTACTACGACCACAGAGGAGGTGAGGATTTGGACAGGGGATTTGAGTAAATCCTAAAATCTCTATAAATATTTGCACTGTTTGGTTATTGGCTCCTTCATTGAAAGTTTCTCTGAGCCCACCATACACCTGCCTAGTGCTCTGTAACTAATAGATAGTACCACATATTAGGTCTTCATCTTTTGTACAGCCTCCACATCCTTGCTGGGAGTTTTCTCAGAGCTCCCTTTATATCTTTCTTCCTAATGGTGTAGATAAAGAGATTGAGGGTTGGAGTGATTCTGGAATAGAAGAGGGAAATAAACTTGCCCTGCTCTTGGGAGTAGCTGGAAGGGGGCTGCAGGTACATATAGATGGCAGGAAGGTAGAAGAGAGAGACCACCATCAGGTGGGAGGAGCAGGTTCCAAGAACCTTGTGCTATCCCTTGGAGGACTGGATCCTGAACACTGCATGGGTGATGAAGTCATAGGAAAGAATGATGAAAGCTAGAAGGACCAGCATGAAGAAGTTCACCAATACAGCCAGTGTGGCATCATTCACAGCTGTGTCAGCACATGACAGCTTGATCAAAGCTGGCACCTCACAGAAGAAGTTGTTTAGCACCTGCTGCCCACAGAAAGGCAATTGCACTGCCAAGACTACCTGAACTAGACAGTTGCCAAAGCCACTTAGCCAGGTCATGATTACAAGCTGCTGACAGAAAGGGTGGTACATAATAAGACTATACCGCCGGGGCTTGCAGATGGCCACCTAGTGTTCCAGGGCCATGGCAGCCAAGATGATGCATTCAGTGCATCTCAACCAGTGGAAAATCAGATACTGCAGATGCAGCCACCATAGCTGATGGTCTTCCTGGAGCTTCCCATGTTGAACAACATGTGAGGGACCATGGTGGTGGTATAGCAGAGGTCAAGAAAGGGGAGGTGGCTGAGGAAGATGTACATGGGATTGTTGAGCTGGGGATCAAAACGGGACACCAGAATAATGATAATATTCCCCAACATGGCAAGAACATAAGTCACAAGGAGGACAACAAAGAGAGGGAGTTCCAGTCATGGCCTTCCAGAAGCACCCAAAAGAATTAAGTCCCTGGGAGGATCCCCCAAGAAACTCTGGTTATAAATTCTCATGCTGAGGAATTTTCTAGCACTGGTGATGAATCTAGAAAGAGTGAATAAAGCTGAGAAAAAGAAATTGTCTTTCTCATTCTGTGCCTGTACTTTCCTAAACAGGTTACTATGTCTTACCTCTGTAGAGGCACTGAGATGTGGGGGAGTCAGAACCAGGAGGCAGAACAGCTGCATATGTTTCTTGCTCTCCCTTCTACTTTGTGATCTTGACTATGCCATTTAATATTTCTGCACTTCAATTTCTGCATCTGTAAAAAGGTGAGAGAATACCTGCTTCAACTATAAAGTCTTCTGGATGGTAAAGGGCCATTACCTTGGTGAAAACATAGGGCATGGACAATTTTCTCCCAATTTGGTCAAAGGCGGCTATAGTTCCCAACACCACTAGAATGTTTGTCTTGTCTCTACAAACTCATTGACAAAAAATTTACATTTACCACTCTCTTAGTTTTTTTGTATTGAATTTTGGAGGTGGAAGTAGGAGGGAGTTAAAAAGTGTGAGGAGGTAAGAGGTGGCATAAAGAAAGCATGGGGGCTTGTAAGTGGTTGGGGGGTTGTTACTATGAATATACCCTACTTACCTTCTAAAGCTTACATCTGGCTCCCTGGCCCTCTGCACCATGCTGGCCTCTCCCATGTCTGCTCATACACAGGAAGCCCTGTAACTCACTGTGGCAAAAACAGAAAAAAAAATCCAACATTCTCTGAGTCCCTGGGATGAAGAAGTTAAGTCACTCTCATCCCTCAGTTTATCATGACACCTAGTGAGCACAGGAAGAAAGATATTGGTCCTGGTTTTAGATACTGAAGCATCAGATTGCCTCCAAAGCTAATATTTATTGGGCAGTATGGACATTTGAATTTCCTCTACAGCTTCTTTGCCAAGCAGGGGTTTCTTCTCAGAGTTGGAGAAGATAGTGATTTGATTTCAGCCTCCAGCCTCCTACACTCTCTCCAGGACTGTACACCTTCAAGTTCATGACAGTGATGAGAAAAGCCGAGGAAAGAAATTATCTTTCACATAGGATTGAAAATTGAATCCTTTCTGCAAGCCATTTATAAAAGACTCACTTTTAGTTTCTTATTTTGTGCTTTATGCATAAACTATGGAATTCGTGGAAATCTGCTCAGGTTAGATGATGCAATAACCCCCTCTCCAAAGTTCTAGATTCTGAAGAACATTAATACTATTTGAAAACAACTAAAACTCTGAGGTTCAAATGGGTAAATATGTGCAATTGCTATTCTTCTGTTGTTTCAAAACTACATGCTATTTGCTATAAAGTTCCTAATATTTTTCTGGGGCATCTAATTATTGCACTTATTCTTACTATTCTATTAAAACACTTCTAAAGTACATATTAGAAAATCTATTTCTAATGGGAATTCAAGATCCTGATTTTGATGCAATGAGCTGGGCAGAAAAAAATCAGGCTAGCCTACTTTTTAAAATAAGAAAAAGTAATTATACCATTTATGTTTCTTAAATTTTTGATTCCAAGATTTTTTTCTCAGAGTTTAAACTAAAAGAAAGGGAAAAGTTGCAGGGATGGTGAAGAAAGACAAAAAGGATGAAAAAACTAAGAAAATAGAGAGGTAAATATAGGCTATGTTTAATAAATACAAATTATTAAGTGTTCATTATGAGCCAGGTGCTATGAAAACAACTTTATATTATATCTGACTTTAATGACTCGGCAAAGTATTTTACCCTAGTTTTACTGTTGATCAGAGTGGTGTGGGGAGGATGGCTGATCTACCTTAGATTATTTACATAGCAGCAAGCAGCAAAGCCAAAATTGAGAGCTAAGGTCTGGCTCCTAACCATTATATTCTCTGACAGTTTGCTTTTAAAAAAACAGACCTATGGCCAGTTCGGCTCAGCAGTTAGAGCGTCAGCCTGCGGTCCAGAGAGACCTAGGTTTGGTTTCCACTAGGGGCAGGTACCTCGGTTGCAGTTTGTTCCCAGCCCTGATTGGGTCATGCTGGTGACAACCACTCAATGTGTTCCTTTCACATCGATGTTTCTCTCTTTCCCTCCTACTCTATCTGTACAAAAAATGGAAAAAAATGTCCTCGAGTGAGGATAAAAAACAACAAAAAAACAGAGGGTGGGGGTGGGAGGAAATTAACCAACTAATATATATACATATATGCATTGCACATGGACACAGATAATAGAGAGGTGAAGGCCTGGGGTGGGGTGGGAACCAGGTGGAGGGGGAGATGAGGGAAAAATGAGGGGCGCATATGTAATACTCTCAACAATAAAAATAAATTTAAAAAAACCAAATAACTGTAACAACAACAAAAAGACAGTTGCTGAATAGCATTAGTGTAAATGTCTGAGACAGAAGAGAATGCCTGAAAAAGGAGTTACATCATCATCAGGAGAGAGGCAAAGAAACTAAGAGGGAAAGTTTTTGTAATTTTCAGTTCAATTAATGGGTATGTGGTATGTGTGGGCACACACACACACACACAAAGCAAGCCTGCAGATTATCCTGGCCTGACCATTCTAGCTTTCCATCCAGTTCTTTTCACATGGAGCTAAGCAATCCAGCCTCCACATTTCCCTGACCCTCTTCTGTCTTCTTACTCCACAAATAGAGGTGTTCCCCACAGATTGGCCTTGTTTTTCTGGTTAAACACAGTAATTCCTAAGTCAGACAGAGTAACCCTCAGCAGAATTCTTCTAGAGCTGTGTCTCCAGCTGACAATTTTTTAGTGACATTCAGCACTCCTTTTGACATCGGTAACAGAGGCACTGTACATTTAACCTCTTAGCCATTCTTCCAACCTCCAACCAGCCCCTTTCTTCTAATTTCTGGCTATCTCTGTATCAGTTACCCTGACTCCAACTATTCAGGTGATTTCTAATAATGTCTTATTCCTTATTTGCCACATTTTATCAATGACCGTGTCCTAGGCATGGCCATCTATACCCTCATCATTGCAGTGCTGGGCCAACACAGCCATGTGGAACCCTTGGAGGTCATTAATTATCTTCTTGCAGGCAGTCTCTTTTCTATCCATTCCATCACTCACCTTCACAATAGACTCCTCTTTCCAAGACTCAGGTCTTAAGACCATAGCTATCTTTAGTGTATCCAATTACCTAAAACATAATAAGAACCCATCTCTTTTCATAGTTACTTGGTAAGAGTAGGGATTGCATTATTCTTGCATGGATACCTCAGCAGTTTCTTCTGACCGCTGACATATTCTGTGACCTGTTTTAATAATCATTCTTACACCACTGTCACTGATAGGCTGGGCTTTGAACACGTGGATGGACCTGAGATGTCTATTCTTCTTTGTGTAGTATAGAGCCTTTGCAATACATACAGACATATCATCATAATGCCTGACATTTGACAGCATATTATCTGTTCCAACAAACAGGAAAGAAAATCTGGAAATAACCTCATGAAGAGGAAAATGACAATGAGGCCATGGGCTGTTATTGCCTATTAGTACAAAAGACTGCTTCCTTCAATGTAAACTTCAGCCTAAATAACCCCACCCAAACAACAGGTGTAGGCCCTTAACAGTAGAGGCTTTAACTGGGATTGCCTGTGGGAGGTGGGGTCCTTGAGACAAGGCCTACAGCGGACAATGCTCTTCTTCACAGTATTAACAGGGGCTCTTTTATGATTTGTGTATATCTCCTCTCCTGATGATGCTTATTTTTGGATGGAACTTCTGATCAAAGTAAAACCAAGAAGTAAACTGGCTCATTGAAGCGGTCTAAAAGTACCATGTGCACTCTGTTTCTCTTTGCTGTGTTCTGCTCATGTTCTCCCAGTACTAGGTTGTGCCTGCCACACCCTCCTGCACTGGGTGCGCCCTCCCTGCACAGGGCATCTGAAGTTTCACTGCAGCTTCCTTCATAAAGCACCCTCACTGATATCCCACTGTGGATCGTCCCCTGGAAGCTCCACATACAAAGGGTTTGAAGAGCACTGATAATCATATCTTCACAAGGGGGCTAAGATGTAATTTTAAAAAATGCTTTAATTTTAGAGATTAAACAATATTTTGTAACACATATGAGAGAAGGGCAGTAAGTCTGCATTAGAGCACCATCACCATCAGTCTGTTTATCAGGCACTAGGTATGTGCCATCGCATGCCCTACTTCAATAGTGGGCCAAACTGAGACTTCATAAAGATTAAGAAAGTCTTCTTCCTTCAGGTCAGTGCTGTGACATAATTCCATGGGCTAAGCCACTCAAGCCCCATGGCTGGCTCACACAGAAGGGTCATTTCTTCTTACAGGCCCTGGAGATTGTAACTACTGACCCAAAACACCACTGCCTCCAAAGCATCCACAGTCCCCATGTACATGTATGACTCTTCGTTAAACACCCCGTAAAGCTGAAAAGTACTTAAGACCTTGCCTAATGGAAAACAATACATAATGTGTTGTACCTTTTCCTACTAATTTTCATTATGTTAAATTTTACTTTTTGGGGAGATTGTATTCTTTAAGAACAAATGTCTGTCTTATACAGTGTCATTCACAGCACTTAGATTGTGTGAGTAATGCAGTTAATTCATAAAATGATTACTGATTTTGTTAACAAAACTAAGGGTCTCATACTTCAAATAGCTTCTTCTTCTGTGTGGCATGTAAAGTTCTGGGCCCATCTGTCGTTCTTTCTGGTTGTGGTGAGAGGGGGAAAAGGAGAGGAGAAGGAGCTGAAACACAGCAAGGTCAGGCTTCTGGAACCACAAAAGAGAAGACCCACATAGGCAGGATGCCAGCCCCTGTAAGCATCTGCCTATCACTGAGACAGTGACAGTCCCTTCCTGCACATGCCTGCTCCCCACTCACAGTCCACTGCCTTTATTTGTTATCTAAATATTTAATTTGTTGCTAGAATTCAGCTCAAAACTTACTTTCTCTGGAGAATGGTGCTATTTGCTTTACTAGTTCTGTTTCTCTCTTTCCACCCCGCTACTGGGCTTAATATTGATTTTGTGACTCAGAAATGT